ATCTCATATATAAATTGGATACAATGGGTTTGAAATTTAAACTATTTTTAGATATCTATTGTATTACAGAAAAAACATATAAACACAATTTTTAACATGATATATGTGGAGATCTTTATCTCTTCTCTTTTACTTGTCTATTATTCTGTTTTCAGTTTCATTTCTTTAGTTTTAGAAGAAACATAAATCTCTTTTTGTTGCTCAGTTTCTCTTAAGCACGTACAAGTTTTTTCTTCTATATTTACTTTAATATTTAATTTTTAATATAATCATCTAAATATTAATTATATTTATTTACTAATTAATGTTTAATATTTTGTAGGCAGAGGAAAACGGAGGAGAACTTCCTCCAATGACGAAGCTCTTTGAAACCACTCACCGGAAGAATGATGGATTGTTCGCAGATGTTCTGACCGAACAATGCCATGGCGAAGATCGCCGAACAGGAAACTCAGGTCACACCTGACGGTATTATCCAAATACCTTTGACCGTCCTCGAGCAAGACAAGATCTTCGAAGAGGTATGATTTCTTTTTTAAAAAAAAAATATTAATTACTATAATTAATTACTATAATTAATCTTATACTAATAAATATTGAAGCTAAATAGTTTTTAAGGTGTCCACATAAGATTTAAAAGAGCAATTTTATTGGTCCACATCAACATTCAAAATCAAAAAAGTTTATAAAATCTACTATTATTGTTGTATAAAGAAATTCTGTATAAATTTTTTATTAGTCCACTTCAACATTGAAAATTAAAAAGTTTTCAAATTTTATTATTGTTTTAAAAATTATTAAAGATAAATAAAATTTATATAAATTTATATTAATAAGAAAAAGCTAAAGTACACAATATTAAATAAATATATCATTATATTTAAATAAATAAGTAAAGTTTTCAATATTATATATAGGTTGTTCCGAAGAAAAAAGGTTGTATCTTAGAGATTGGCTCTATTAGAGACTGTCCCGTCGCCTCGAGGCCTCGACTTCGGGAAGCCAGCCATACGAGGATGCGATTCAGTTGCGGCAGGAGTTAGATGTCGCCCATGCAGAGATCACCAGCATGCGGACTGAGCAAGTCGTGCAGAAGGAGGAGATGGCGAAGATGAACACTTCTTTGATATCATAACGGCAAGTATTCCGGCGTTGGCTGTTGCACTGAAAGAGAAGCAGCACCGATCACAGACATTATCTACGGGGACTTCTTCTGGTCCGCAGACCGATACTGACGGTCAGTCGGCTCCCATAGTTTAGACAGGAAATGATGGTACAACGGCTCTCGGAAGATAAGACGGAGAGATGCATCCGGACGTCGATCTGTATTTTGAAATAAACCTAAACTATATATTTTTTTTTGTAAACATTTTGAATTTAAATTTAAATTTTAATATTATAATAATTTTCAAATTCATTTTGTATTATATTTTTGATTTATTTTATATTAAATAATTAAAAACAAATCAAATTTTTTTAAAAAAATACGTAAAATTGTTATAAATGTACGACGATTTTACGTCGAATATTTTATGACTACTTGACGTTTACGACGTTTTAGGTTGATATTTTACGACGATTATACGTCAATTATAGAATAAATAATGCATTATTATCACGAGTCTTCACTTTCCGACTTTTCAGATTCTTCTTCACTTGCGGAGTTTTCAAATTCTTCTTTACTTGCCAGGTTTTCAGATTCTTCTTCAAATGGCTTCTCCAGATTCTTCAACATCTCATCATCTATGCTTCCTCCGTATACGGAGCGAGGCAAAACCACAATTCAAATATGTATTGAGAATTCGGCCAAAAAAACCCAAAACTTTCCACATTTTGCCAAAAAAACACGAATTGTTAGGTTAACCAAATAAACACTCAACTTTTGTTGACTTCCATAAATAATAACAAATTTTTCATTGACATGCCAAATCAGCACACCGTTTATAAAGTTAACAGAAAATTTAAACGTCGTTAACTCTGCTGTTACTGTTGGGGTTAACTCAAAACGACGTAGTTTAAACTTTTTACAATTTAAAAAAAAAATTGTTTACATGTGGGTTCGAACACATGACCTTAAAATGCATAAGAAAGTTTTCAGCCACTGGACCAGTGACACTTTTGAGTATGTGGGTCATACATTTCTTTTATGTGGGTCATACATTTCTTTTTATTACTCACTTCACCCGATTTTTTTTTTTAAATTCGCGATCTTAAAATGTTTGTTTTCACCTAAGTTCGACTCTTGATATAAGGTACATAGAGGAGACTTCAACCACTGAGCCAATGACACTTTCAAACAAAAAGGTTATACATTTGCTTTTATTACTCATTTTTGCCTGATTTGTTCTTAAAAGAAAATTGCCCAATGGCAGAAGAAGTCACCCTTATGTATTTGAAGGTCATGTGTTCGAACCAAGGTAGAAACAATTTTTTTTAAATCGTAGAATTTTAAAACTACGTCGTTTTGAGTTAACCCAACTGTAACAGCATAGTTAACATTGTTTAAATTTTCTATTAACTTTATAAGCGGTGTGCTGATTTGGAAAGTCAACGAAAAGTTTGTTATTATTTATGGAAGTCAACAAAAGTTGAGTGTTTATTTGGCCAGGCTGATAGTTCGTGTTTTTTTTAGCAAAATTCAAAACGTTTGGGATTTTTTTGGTCGAATTCTCAATATGTATCCTCTATAGTTAGAAACTATTTTCGCACATATATACTTACTTGTAAGAGACGATATTCCTGGCGTGCTGATTCCCAGTAGAGTTTCTCTCCCTTGAAGGACCATATAAAAATACCCATTAATTAGGAGGGTTAAAAGGAGGAACCACGTTAACCCAGTGAAACCCTCTCTCAAATCCTTCCTCCGTCTCCTGAGATATTGTACACGCGGTTGCAACATATCTTCCGGTTGGGCCCCAAGCGATATCGGTGGCCATCAAGTGTTCAGCTTTGTTCATAGTCTCAAGCTTATCCACGTCGAAAAACTCAAACTGGCCACTGAAGGAGCCTTTCAATCCAGCGACAACTATGTACTTCCCTCTGGGCGACCAGAAGAGTGCATCAGCTTGCTTGTCCTTGAGAGTAGCTAGCTTAGAAACTTTTCCAAGGTTTTGCATAGTGTAGAAACTAACATCTGGCAATACTGATTGGTCGCCCTCGCCGCCGTGCATCATGGCAAACCTGTGACCGCTGGGCTCCCGTGCGGCCATGCGAACGCGAGGACCTTCTTGTCCACCTTAAAAACCTCGATGGGAATATCAACCTCTTTGATGCGGAAAAGCACAAACACAGAGCATGTAACTTGGACAGCAAGGTACTATCCATTACTCTGCCAGTACATCTTGCAATCGAGGTCGTAAACATCAGGAGGATCCGTGTGCCTCAGCTCCACCATGCCAGGGATTTGCACAAAGGCTACCTTGGCAGGCTGCTTCTTGACACACCCTTTCAACACTGCAAGGTTGGATTCAGTAGGAGAGCAAGAAATGTCCACAACATCATCAACCTTCATGGGTTTGTCACCTAACAGGCTGAAAGTCTGAGTCTCATAGACAGATATGGTATTGTTTTTGGTAAGCATGGCAAAGTATTTATCATCTTTTCTCCCAGCCCATCTGCATGCCGTATAAGTTTTTACATCATTGAATGAATGTAGATAACATTTCTTTTGTTAGGGGAAATTTAAAAAAAATATATATCGGATGACTAACTGGTCCAAGATATCTTCATTGGTACGGCACTTTAAGAAAACACAGTCATTCGCTGATCAAACAAGAATAGAGCCAAAGCAAAGTAGAACAAGGTACAAAGTAGACGTACCGCCTCCACATTGGCGGGAGTGCAATGATAATAATTGTAGCCATGAGAACCTAGTTCACGGCCCTACACAGAAAAAAAGATATGGCAACCAACAACGTATTTTCTTTGAAACATATATGTGTGGCTGATGCGTGTAGATGATACCTTAATAAGAGTAATTACTTCTCAGAAACAGGGAGATAGACCATAACAGCATTACTAGATCCAGTTTTGAATGGTTTGCTACAAATACAGGAATCATTGTTCAAATACAATTTAACTAGTTGTAATTCAATCATCGAAAATGAGAAACCAATCATTATAGCACGATAAAATCGAAATAGATTAGTAGCCCTAGTGGTTATAATGTAATATAATGTAAGAGATCCAATAGAAAACCTCACCTCTCAAGCTTCCTTGGTTTTGTGATGCCCAGATCCACCATGAATTTGGAAACTAAACCGCCGAGAGAGACACAGAATGAGAATAGCGATTGCAAAGTTACGCACTATTAAGACACTTTCGAAAATCAGCAAGTTCTTATAGTAGTAAATAACCATCCTAACCTATTTTGTTTTCACATATGATCATTTTCTCCTAATTCTTTGGCTCTAATTGGTAACCATTAAATGAATAATAGGAATGAATATGAAAAACTCAAAGAAATGAAGAAGAATAAAATAATGAGAATGTATTTTATATTTGGTGAGAAATATTTTTTGTTCTAAAATTTCCTAAAAATGAAAGAATTACCAGAAATAGTATGTATAAAATATTCTTAAAAATCAAGGGGAAACTTGAAGATCCTGATCTGTTTTTTTCCCTTTGATTTGAAATATAATCTTTTATTTTTTTTAATTAAAATTGACCATATAATACATTCAATTTTGGTAAAGTATAGTATTTTCTCATTAAAAAAAAATGATTTTGGTAAAGTATTGCATGTAGAAGGATATTAAATTGATAGTAATATACATTCAAAATACATCAATTTGCAACGAATCCACTGTAGCACAAAGGTTAATTTCAAGCATTGATGAAATCCGGGTTCAAACCCTGGCAGCGGAATAATTTTTTTGAAATTGATTAGGCTGATCTCGTACATTATATATCTCATAAGGCCCAGCTTTATTGGGCCTGTAGACCCAACTATAATTAAGAAGACGTTGTTTTTCTCCCGGCGACTTCGCGACGTCAATTAACGGCCGATGAACATATCGAATGTGAGTAAGGCAAAGCTTCTTCTTCCTCTGATACCCAAATTCAATCGCTCGCTGTATTCTCACTCTCAGCGTCGAACTCGCTCCCTTCCTCATCACCGAGAAAAACCCATCAACTGGAACTCCACACACAGTTTCGTTCTCCACAATCCTCTTCTTTCGTTGCTCGAAAAATGCATATCGTTGCTCCATTTGAAGCAGATTCAATCTCAGATGATAATCACCGGCTTGATCCTGGATTCGTTCGCCTCAAGCCGACTAATTGCCTTCTGCGCCTTGTCGGAACCTCCGTATCTCGATTACTGTGTGAAGATTCTGAGAGGAGTTGAGAACCCGAACGCTTTCTCTTGGAATGTAACGATTAGAGGATTCTCCGAGAGCGAGAGGCCTAAAGAAGCGGTTTTGCTCTACAAACAGATGCTGAGACATCGCGAGTCAAGACCAGATCATTTCACTTACCCTGTTTTGTTCAAGGTTTGTGCTGATCTTGCATTGAAAAGATTAGGTCACATGATTCTTGGGCATGTTCTTAAGCTGAGATTGGAGTTGGTTACTCATGTGCATAATGCTTCGATTCATATGTTTGCTTCTTGCGGTGAGATGGAAAATGCGAGGAAGGTGTTCGATGAAAGTCCTGTGAGGGACTTGGTTTCTTGGAACTCTTTGATTAATGGGTATAAGAAGATTGGCCAAGCAGAGATGGCGATACAGGTTTATAAGCAAATGGAATCTGAAGGATTTGACCCGGATGATGTGACTATGATTGGGTTGGTTTCTTCGTGTGCAATGTTGGGAAGTTTGAATCTTGGGAAAGAGTTTTATGAATACATAAAAGAAAACGGACTGAGAGTGACTGTTCCTCTTGCTAATGCTCTGATGGATATGTTCTCTAAATGTGGAGATATTCACGAGGCACGGAGAATATTTGACAAGTTGGAAAAGAGAACAATTGTGTCGTGGACGACAATGATTTCAGGCTATGCTCGATGTGGTTTGCTTGATGTTTCTCGGAGGCTTTTCGATGATATGGAAGTAAAAGATGTTGTCCTGTGGAATGCTATGATCGGTGGCTCTGTCCATGCAAATCGAGCTCAAGACGCTTTGGCATTGTTCCAAGAGATGCAGACAAGCAGTGTAAAGCCCGACGAAATCACCATGATCCATTGTCTCTCTGCTTGTTCTCAGCTTGGTGCTCTTGATGTAGGCATTTGGATTCATCGTTACATCGAGAAACATAGTCTTAGCCTCAACGTTGCACTAGGAACTTCTTTGGTCGACATGTACGCTAAATGTGGTAACATCTCAGAAGCTCGCAATGTTTTCCATGAGATTCAAACAAGAAACTCGCTTACATACACAGCGATCATCGGGGGCTTGGCCCATCACGGAGATGCATCCGCTGCTATATCATACTTCAATGAAATGATCGATGAAGGGTTAGCTCCAGATGAGATAACTTTCATAGGAGTATTATCAGCTTGTTGCCACGCAGGAATGATCCAAATGGGTCTTGATTATTTCTCTCAGATGAAGTCTAGATTCAACCTAAATCCACAGTTGAAACATTACTCTATTGTGGTAGACCTTTTAGGAAGAGCCGGGCTACTGGAAGAAGCAGAGAAGCTCATGGAAAGTATGCCAATGGAGGCAGACGCTGCGGTTTGGGGAGCGTTATTATTCGGTTGCAGGATGCATGGTAACGTTGAGTTGGGAGAGAAAGCGACTAAGAAGCTTTTAGAACTTGATTCTGGTGATAGTGGGATCTATGTGTTGTTGGATGGTATGTATAAAGAGGCTAATATGTTTGAAAATGCAAAGCAAGCGAGGAGTATGATGAATGAGAGAGGCGTAGAGAAGATTCCGGGTTGCAGTTGCATTGAGGTTAACGGAGTTGTCTCTGAGTTCATTGTTAGGGATAAATCGAGACCTGAATATGAGAAGATTTATGGTTTCTTAGATTTTCTTAGAAAACATTTGGAGCTCGTTGAGTGTAATGGTGGTGAGAATTATATTACTTAAATAGTAATAATATTACGGGGCATGAGAATTATATTACTTAAATGAAACTGATAAATTTAATTTTTACTTTTTGGTCTGTGGAAATACATTTGAAGTTGTAGCCAATATAGGAAAGGGGCATTGCTTCGTGATATGTTTTATTCTCGAATTTGTAGGATTTAGGTAACTATTGAAAGGGGGAAATTTTGAATTAACCAACAAGTTACAAAATTAAAAACAAAATAACTAAATTCACCCCTAACAAATGTTGAAGTTACCATTTATTTAGTTAAAAAAAAAACTTAATGTTTGGTCATGTGAACATACTAATGTCGTCAAGTTTCTGATTCAGTGTAATTTTTGGGCAAATAAAAATATCAATGTTTTCACCGCAAACTCTTAAAAATATCAGAAGGATGGAAGAAGTCATTGAGATGATTTGTACAAAAGGCTTATGTAATATTGATATTTTCTTAATGACTAATCATTTTGATTTTTGTGCAGAAAAAATGATGGGCACCAGGCAAAAACATGTCTCAATGGTGAGAAAAAAAACGAAAAAGATAGAAGATGACTCCACAGGGAGTAAGAATCTCAATAATCAGAAAGAGTGTGATAACATATGCATGCTTTAAGATGTTTGAACCACCTTTTAAACTACATGATATTGCCTATAATCCACATAATTATTAGGACAAACCTTTGTTGTTACTGGTGGCACAATAGTTTCTTATTTCAAGTTGTAGGGAATGAGGGTCGTGAGCATGCTCTGCAGCGCATCCTTCATTGATCCATTCGCTATGCTATGCAATGCAATATCTAGATGCCAAGGAAGACTTTTCTAGCAAGTAAGTTTACAGTATTGTAAACTATATAATGTGTTGTTTTTCAATACAACTTCCGTGTTTATAATTTCTTGGATCATTGAATTTTGGTTTATTAATGTGAGGAAAAATCTAACCAGCATATATACTTGAAAATTAACTGAGTTAACTAGTTAGATGGTTAAGTTTAATGTAATGAATGATCAAAAATTTATCCAAAAATAGTGCTCAATGAACTAAAAAAAGTTGATGGAGAAACCACATTTATGTTTTTTCTGCGGTGAATAATGAATTACATTCATTTTGGAGTTTAAGTTTTGTTAAGATAATTAATTTTTTTTGTACTTTCAAAATTTTTATTTTAATAATAAAATTCTCATTTAAAGTTCTAGGCAAGAAAAATGTGTGAGACTATGGATGATCAAGGTAAACACTAACTAACATTTTTGTTTACTAATAATTTTGGTTGGGATGTGAGTTTTATGACATCAAACTGGTCAATCAAAAAAAAATTTCTAAACGAAAGTTTTGAAACAAGTGGGTATATTTTCCCCTTTATCGTGAAATATTTACAATTAATATATTTTTGTATACTTTCTCCTTTATCGTGAATAGTACTGACCAACACAACAAAGATCGCAACGTGGATTTTCTCTGGTGTTTGGATAAATCTGTTTTAACACATGTTAGTTGCTATGTACAAATTTTAATATTATCAACAATTCAGTATTATGTTGAATTTTCTGATACAAAGTCTTGTTTTGCAAATGGGTGAAAGTGAGATGGTTCTATTTCATTAGTTGAAGTATGGTTCTATTTCAATAACATCAATTAATCAATTGAATGAGTAATCTACGCATATTTTTGTTTGTAAGAGTTGTTTTCCATCAAATTCTAAAAAGAAGACTTGCACAACTAATGTACAATGATAAGTTGGTGAAAAGAATGAAAAGCAAATATCAAGTTGTGACCATTCTACAAAGTATTCTCATGACATTGATTCTTTTAGAGTAAAAGTATCATTTTTTCTAAAAATAATTTGGCTATACTAACAGATTGAAGTGTCAATTAACTTTGTTGACGTTGGTTATTTTTAATTACAATTTTCTTTTTTTTAACAAAGTTAATTTCAATTGATTAACAAATATATTGGGCTTCAAGCTACCAGATAAAGAGAGAAATATTTTGAGATGTTTATTAATTAGTACCGTATGAAGAAATGGTGGTGGACGATGTACAATCTAATATGAAAAGATCAAATACTTGTAAAATTTTTAGAATGAATTATTGTGTGAAAGAAATATGCTCAAATAAAAGTTAGAAAGCTAAGTAATCAGAATGAGTTGAAATGGTGGTGGACAACGTACAATCTAACAACAAAATATCAAATACTTAAAAAAAATTAGAATGAAATATTATGTGAAAGAAATATGCTCAACTAGAAGTTAGAATAATGGGAATGAGTTGAAATTTTACAAAATCAATTTTGGTGGTTAATTGAAAAGAAAAGAAAAAAAAACACATGCGAAAACATAGGATTTTCGCATACAATATTGTTGAATGCGATTTATTACTATTTCTGCATATTAATGAAGACAAGATTACAATATTAGATAGAACTGTTTGGCGTGGATGTTCATAAGACGGTAGAATTGTCTATTTAAAATTGTCGATAGAACAGATCTCATAATTTGTACTAAAATAATAAATTAATACTAAAAAAAACAAGAGTAAAATTATCAAACAAGACAAACAATTTAGTCAGAGGTTTCTATTGAGTAAATGAATAACGCAATGTGAAATCTCTGAGGTTTCTCTTATCCTAGGCAGAAATAAGTTGTTCTTGTAGATGTCTCTTGGCAGGAGTTGAACGTTGTGACTCAGACGACTGAATCAATACTTGCATTGTTATAGTTGCAATCACCAAGAAGAACACACAGACACAGATGATCTTCCACGAGGCTACCACAGAGAGCCATTGAAACTAGCTTGAAACCACCATATACAAGGAGACATAACCAAATGATGACCACCTGTTTATAACAACATTAAGAGGTTTCATAAGAAAATCACTTTATAGCATTTTGCTGTAGTCTGATGTGTGATGTCTCTTACGATCAATGGTTTGATTGGCCGCTCTATTTGGTGAACGTCCAAGTCGCTGAACACGTCTTTTGTGAAGTATTTCTCAAGCTGAGCATCCTGGTTTATAAAAAGTGAGCACTTCAGCAATGTTGAGACAAATGGAATTTAGCGGAAACTAGAAGTTTGATGACACGAGATTTGTTTTGTGAACCTTATTGATGAACAAATCTTGGCACCATTGAGCAATACCATCATCTGTTTCTGGCAGCTCGCTCATTTTGTGACGTCTCATCTGCAAATTCACCTTCAAGAGAAGGAAAAAAAAAAAACAAAAGTTTCTGATATATTGAGCATAGGCTTCTATGTAAGAAACCGAGACATTAGAAACTTTTATACCTCAGATGATTGTCCACTGAACATCCTAAGCAGAGTTGGTGTAGGCTGATTGTTTTGAACGGTTACGGTACAATCGTAAATCGCAGGAACAAATGATCGTATGTGTGACACCGCCGAAACAAATCCCTGAATTTGCATATCTATGTAAATCCAAGTGAAGTAAAGCTCACAAATGACCTGAAAAGCAAAGTTGTTTTTTGGTGAAACTTACCTTTGTACGAGGAATCAAGACATTTCGAGGAGTTGGTAAGCTTCTGATAGAGGCGTAATCTTGAGCTGCTTCAAGCTTCTCCTGAGTGAAACGAGTTCCTTCAACGAAAAGAGCCAGCCAGAATGTCATAGGAAAGTCCTCAAGTCTCTTAAAACCTGCCTGCAAGAAGAGACAGAACAACAACAAAAAAATGTTTCAAGCACATAAAACAGAATCAAATTTAAGCTTAGAGCAAAACTAACCTTGAGGGTATTCTCATCCTTAGCCCAGCTTCTTTCCAAGAAAATGTAATCCGAAAACCACATGGACCAACCTATGATCTGTTAAAGACTTGTAGTGTTTCAGTAAAATACATTTATGACTCAAAATCAACATTAAACTAAAGACAAAAAGATTCAACAAAAGATTGATTAGACTCACTGGAAGATATTTGGCTTCTTTCTTCATGATGGCTAAAGAGCTTCCAAGACAACCTGCACGCTGTGATGTATCATTAATAGTATTCAATTAAAAAAACAGAGATTTCTCCAAATTTAAAGACAGAATATTGATTCAGATAAAGATAGAAACACCTGAGCCATGACCCATCCAATAAGCCAATCAATGTCACTTCGATGATTGCTTAAAACAAGTGCATGTTCTTTCCCTGAAATTTATATCAAGAACAAGAATCATTGGATACGGATACTTAAGACTTAGGTAGTATAAACTCTTAAGTTCTCTTTACCAATTAACTCTAGAGTCTCTGCATCGGCGTATAAATTGATCTGCAGCAACAACACAACATCACATATCAGACTAGATACTTCTGTGTAAACCACAAATTTTATTTTATGAATTCACAAACCTTTATACAAGCCCACCAATCAATCAGCCATATAAGCTGCAACCAAAGTAATTCCGCAACGGTTTTGTTGATTCTTCTATACAAACTTCTTGAGAATGGACGAACAATAATGAAGAACACAAGCTGAAAACACATAACCATGTTATCTAAAACCCTTAGTTGGCGAATTCAATTGTAACAGACATCTAAAAAACACAAACTGTCTTCCTCGGAGAAGATAATGAATATGAATTTCTTTTGGTGTGAAGAGTAAAAATGAAAGACCTGAATGAGATTGACGATGAGGCCTGAGATCAAGAAGAGGACACCAACAGGGATAAAGACAAGAGCCGCAGGAACCACCATGTCTAAGATAGAGACACAAAGTAACAGAAGAAGATGAAAATTAATTGTCTTCGAACCTTTTTTCTCCTTTAGATTTTTTGGAGGAATCAAAGAAATGAGAATTAAGGAACATCATTGTTGTTTCGATGCAAGGGCGTTTTTCAAGCGCCATTTTTAGCACTTGACGCTGTTCTCTCTCTCCTTTACTATATTTTAGTTGACAAACACATGGAGACATGTGCGCATGTAAATCTCTAACAAGAACTAGAATAAAATGCAATTTTAAATAACAAAAAAAAACTGTGTAGGAAAAACATATCCTTATGGTACAAATGTTTTTTTTTTCAATAAAACTATTGGTTTCACAATCTACGGTTCTTGACCTATAACCACATTTGCTTCCCCAGTTTTCAACTCTTCAAGTAGTTTCTTTAGATTGCTCTGGCTTTAGTTGGTCTTTTCACGGCAAACTCTGACGTTTGATTTGTCACTTCTCAACTAAAAAGCTTCTGATCTAGAGATCTACCTGAGCCTACTACAACCATTTCCTTGTTTCACGCCTTGACCAGCTTTGCTTCTGCACTGGTTTCTCTTGGCTCAGTCTCAACAGATGGCGTAACAGGCATCGTCATGATTTTTACAGGTTTCCCGAGTTTTGTTTTGTCTTCCATCGCTGCGAGTTCAAGGGCTTTTGCACAGACCGGGAAACACTGATCGTCCCATGACTCTAGGATTACGCCTGACCCGATACAAGTGGTTCCTTCGTAGAACGCTGCAAACTGCCCAGCAGCTAGACCTTGATCATCCTCGTCTAGGTGTACAACCGCAACATCTCCTTGTGCTTCCATTTCAAAGCTACAGCTGTAGAAGCCAGGCCCATGCCGGACCTATATACTCAACTTATCAGTGCCAAGTAGCCATCATGTGTAGTAGAAAGTAGAGAGTGATCGATCATATTCTCTTTACCTTGCAACGAAGCTGGCTAACATTTCCTGAAGGTTTCCCACTAAGCCATCTTAGAGAGCCAACACGGAAAATCCGCCTTCTCTTGTCGATTGAGTAGTAATTTCTTGAGACAAACACTACATTGTTTTTAGTGTCCTTTTCAACAACATACCTGCACTAAGATCAAGGGAGCATGATCTTCATAGACAAAGTAAAAGATCTAAAGAAGAAACTAAAATCAGCGTGTGATGAGAAGTTAAGCCAAATAGTTTTCTCAACACCATTGAAGGGTTCATATTCAGAACCAGAAGCTGCTTTTAATTTTCATGTGAGCCAATTGCTAGAATCATAAACAATGACAGAAGTAGCTATGTTTTTTTATACATTAGTTAAGAACCATACCAGGGTCCACCGGGTAAACGCAAGCCTTGGCGTTGTCCAATTGTGTAAAACCAAAATCCCCGATGGTTACCAAGAAAATCCCCAGTTTCGGCTTCCAATATAATTCCCTCCATTTCTCCTATGTGTCTACCGACAAAGTCACTGAACTTTATCTATTACAGAAAACCACATCCATAATGTTTCAGACTTGCAATAGGTAACTTGTCAAAAACCAGAAAGAACAAACTAGAAAGTATACCTTCCCAAGGAAACATATTCCTTGCGAATCCTTTCTGTCTTTATTAGGCAAATCAAATTTTGTGGCTAGTTTGCGAACTTCTTCCTGTGCATCAGAAAACAAGGGCAAACAATCAAAATGTTTTCATTATTAATTTTTACTTTACATTTCGGAATGGAGCAGATGCATGTGACTAAAATCTCTCAAAATTTTGCAAAGATAGAAGTATAGAACTTCCTCGAGTACCTTCTTTACGCATCCAAGTGGGAATAGCAGTCGCTTAAGCTGTGTTTGAGAAAGATGTGAGAGGAAGTAGGTCTGATCCTTCACCTAAGAAATAGAAAAATGCAGACTTTAAATGGTGCGAAGACTGAAAACCAAAGCAATGTAACTAAGAAGCATTGGTAGCCTACAACACTAGGTACAATGCACACGTCAAAACCAACAAGTATAATACAGTAAAGACACAGCAACGATCAGAAAAACTACCCGCAGAATTCAAGTCGACAGTGTTCAAGTGGAGTAAGTACCATGTCTTGTGATAGTTCCAAAAGAGACGATGAATCATTTTGGTCAGCAGGAGGAGGATGGACCACTTTAGCATAATGACCTGACGCTATGTAGTCATACTCCATATCACTGATTGTATCCATGAATGCCCCTGAATATATAAGGTCAATATGTAGCTGACTAGTCACAATGGGAGGGACAATTCAGCTGAAAGCAGGAGTCTTTTTATGAGCCAAGACTCTTGATTAAAAACTGTTTAGCAAGAAGCGCTTACCAAACTTGATTCTAGTGTTACATAAAACATCCGGATTAGGTGTACGCCCACAACGGTACTCCTCAATAATGTAAGAAACCTGATTTATTGTTGGAGATCAAATCAGAAACCCAAACAATTAAGCATTCTAAATAGAAGCATTCAAAGAAAGAACTTACAACTCTCTCCCAATATTCATCTGTTAAATGCACAACCTCCAAAGGAACATCAACCTGGAAAAAGAAACCACTAGAGGCAGTAAACATCCACAAGTCTGAACCTTTTGAAACAAACAAAAAACAAAAGTTTTTGAAGATAACCACAAAACCAAGATAATCACAGGGTTTGGGGTTTTTAGCAAGAACACTACCTACCTGCTCACAAACATGCTTTGCATACTTCAAATCATCTTCCCAGGGGCACTGATTCCAGAAATTCTCAAAGCCTTCCTACAGAACACACAGAATATCACAACCCACATTCTAGGAAAAGCCAAGTGGAATTCATCAAGTGGAAAAAGTGAAAAATCACACAATTTAAATCCAATTTGAATCGAAATCTACAAAATGAATCAAGGTGCTATATCACAAACAGACTACGAATCATAAAGAGAGAGATGAGATGAAGAAGAACACACCTGGAACCAGATTTTGAGATAGAAAGCGGTACAGGAATGGCCAGCGGCGTGGAGGAGGCGGAGAGCGACGCTGCTATCGACGCCTCCACTGAGGAGTACGGCGACACGAAGAGGCTTCTCAGGCATGGAACAAGAGAGGTACTGGTCGACGACAAACGCATGTCGGCTACAGTTACGGCCGGAGGAAAGGAAAGGCGTAATCGGGTGAGCAGGTTGAGGAGACGGCAAGTGAAAGGATCGGAAGAAAATCGAGAAAGAAGAAAGAGGACGGAGAAAGAGCGGTGGTGAGGGAGAGAGGAAAGGTCTGACGACGGCGGAGAACATTGGGAATTCCGGTGAAGAAATTGGAATTCCGGAGACTCTGCTTGGCTTATCATTTACTACTAGTCGAATCCATACCGTCGATTTTTCCTATGATCGAACGGCAACGACTCATCGACCTTTTCTTCTTATTTGCAAACTTCATCCACCTGATTATAGTCAAAGTCAACACAACATGTTTGGGTCTAAACCAGTCAAAGTCAAAATATTGGCTTCCTTCAAAATAGAAGGCCACTTGGTTTGATTTAATTTCAATTTACATCCGGGTTATTTCGGTTGAATTTTTGTTTTATTAGATTTCATTTCTAAACGGGTTTAAGTTAATTTCAATTTTGACTTAGGTCAAACTCGGTTAGACCTTGGTTAAGTCCAATTTTGGGTCAGTAACTTCATTTCCTTTAAATCAGGTTAAGTTTCGCTTTAATTCGGGTTTGCATTAGTTTGATTTTATTAAGGTTAGTTTAAACCGGTTTGATTTATTTATAACTCCAAACCCTGGATCGATTACTAAAAACTACAACTAGACTCGGTTAGCATTTGGTTACGTCTCATTCAGATTCAGTTAATTTAGGACAATTGAACATGGGTTGGTTCAATTGGATTCAATTAGGATTCGGTTCAGTTGATTGAAGATTGGTTTAGCTCATTAAAACTAGTATTTGCTCATATTGGCTTGATATTAGGTCTCTCAAGTGCCGCATACAAATGTGTGAGATTATAGATGATGCAAAGGAAACACTAACTAATATTAGGACGTGTTCAAAACCATCTAACTCACTGTAAATCAGTTTTGTTTTAACAGACACTTCTTCTCTAATTGTTTTATTCAGTTCCAACTTCAAAAATTTCAATTAAACCAATGTATATGATTTGATTCTATTGATTGTCAATGTTCAATTTTGGTGCAATCGTTTTCTTAAGATTTGATAGGAGACCAACTTTTACTAACAAATTAGCAAACCTAATATACCATTAAAGTACCAATTGTTATTCGACTAAAGAGATTTAAGCAAAGCTTCTGTTGTTGTCCTACGAATGTTTCTGCTAAAATAATATTTACAACATACCTACGTTTACAGCATATGAGCCAGCCACTCCACATTTCATTGAATTCTGCTAGCTAGAAAGTAGAAACTATATTTTCGTACATGATCGTCAGAGAAGATACTTATGAGACACGATTACTTGCAAGAGACAATACTTGTACGGGATTTGCTTTAAACCAATTTCAAATCCGATTAAGGTATGCTTTAATCCGATTATTAGGTGTTCTAATTCTAAAAATTAATGAATATATATATATATATATATATATATATATATATATATAGATATATGTGTGACCAATCCAAATGGTTTGAGGATTGATTTAGCTCATTAAGCTAAGCTTTTGGTTAAGTGTCATTACCATTAATGATTGTGTGACTAGTCCAAATTATCGTGTTTGACTTGGTTGATTAGGTCCAGATAAAAGTTTAGGGACTTCTTTAATTCATGTTAATCCGCTAAACCACACACGATACAAAATCTCATTTACGGGTTTAAGTTAATTTCATTTACAACTTTGGTCAAAATCAGTTAGACCTTGGTCAAGTCCAATTTGGGGTCAGTACCGGCTTCATTTCCTTTAAATCCGATTAAGTTTCGCTTTAATCCGGGTTTGCATTGGTTTGATTTTATTAAGGTTAATTTAAACCGGTTTGAGTTATTTAACCATTAATTCTTTTTTTCAATCCAAACCCTGGACTGATTACTAAAAAGTTCAACTAGACTTGGTTAGCATCTGGTTATGTTTCATTCGGATTCGGTTAATTTAGGACAGTTGAACATGGGTTGGTTGAATTGGATACAATTAGGAAAGTTGATTTATTAAACAGCTAGTGTTTGCTCATATTGGCTTGATCTTAAACTTCTTTAGTGCCGCATACAAATATGTGAGACTATGGATGATGTAAAGTAAACACTAATTAACATTTTATTTAATTATAATTTTGGTTGATATATGAGATTTTATATTTGGATTTGATTTTTAACAGGGGACTTGGACATCAAACTGATTGACCAAAAGAAAATTCAAGACCAACTGAAACAAGTGAGTATATTATTCTCTTTGTTTGTAACTTTTACAATTGACATATTCTTGTTAACTTAAGTTATTTTATAATAGTACAGACCAACAAAACCAGTTGATGGAGACCGCAATGTTGATTTTCTCTGGTGTTTGGATAAATCTCTTTTACCATATGTTAGTTGCTATGCACAAATTTTACTATTATCAAGCAGATTCTCTTACCAAAGACAAGCCGGCTATGACCAATTTGATTTGTTACGTCATATCATTCCTTTATCCATTCTGAGTGTCGATTCAATCACCGAGTATTTTCACAAGTAATTTTCTATATACTCTGGTTTTGTTAAGATATAGTAAAGAGAAATACTGAACAAGTACAAGGGCTAGATTTTGCATTTAGTTTGCGATTTGTGATAAAAATTTGGTTTGTAATGTTTTTCCTTACTTGAACAAGGAGTGTTGGGACCTTTGCATCTCAAAATTTTTTCTAAAAGGTGAGTTGAGATTAGATGGGGCTCATAAACGTGATAGACGTATGACCCTGAAATGCGGGTACGTTTGCGTGCGCAACAGTCAATGAGCCTTAATGCTCTGAAGGAGAAATTCAGAGAAAAGATATATGAGGTTTATACTCTCCAAAAACTATGAGAATCAAGTTTTATGTTGACAATCTCTTAGAATGGTAAGTAAATTTGTTATTGATTACCTTCTATTGAATTTCTTTTTTTTTCTTTATTCTTTCATAATGATTTCAGGTCAATGCTTTAAAAGATAGAAATATAAAGGATGGAAGGATTATTAGATAATGGATCAAAGCTCCAGCAGATGCAGACTTGAAAAATAAAGATGCTCGCAGAAAACATGAAGAACTAATAGTAGGATGTGTTCAAAACCAGCTAAGTAAGTTTTTGTTTTTGTTTTAATAAACACTTCTGCTCTAATTGTTTTATTCAGTTCCAACTTCAATCAATTGAACCAATGTATATGATTTGATTCCATTGATTGTCAATGTTCAATTTTGTACAATTGTTTTCTTAAGATTTGATCGGAAATAAACTTTTACTAACAAATTAGCAAACCTAATATACCGTTAAAGTACCAATAAAGGAAAAAAACCATTGATTATATTCAACTAGCGTTTTCGCGTGAGTGATGTTTGTTATAAACATTGCAAATAGATAATTCTTGTGTGATCGCTATTCTAGTCTCAAGTTTATGTTATATCCAAATTCCATGCCCCTTCTCATCATTTAGCTTACGTTATATACAAGTAATTTACTTATATTACTTGTGTGAATCAAGCAACCTGCTTTCCATAAGCAAAATACAAAATTTCAAACCCTATTTTTATTGGTTATTATAATTATTAGAACGTCTACATGAAAATATTTGAATACAATTTATTGCAACGAAATAATATTTACTTAATAATTCTTTCTAGTGAGTTACACTCCAATAGAAACGAGTATGTAAAATGGTTTGTGAGTAATTTATAAAACGCCACTTAGCAAAACCGTGAATCTTAGTGACTGAAACTTTTTGTGTATGTTTTGAAGAGATATCTTTGCTCTTTGTAGGTTGTGGTTTCCATCATCGAGAGGATACTCTACAACGATGTGGGCGTCATTTACGTGATGGCGGATAACAAGTTTCTCGTTGAGGTGATCCATGCATTATCCTTGAAGCTGTCTGTGACATAAAACTTGTAATTAGAAATTTATATTGGTTATGCAGTTTACTTTGGAATTGGGGATATGACCCACCGAGAATATTTTAGGGTCTGGCTCTTTATTGGTTGTTGTGCTCCTCTCGATCACGTGTGCTTGCGTTTGTGTTAACTAGGTTCGAACGTCCAACTAAAGAATCGGCTTTTTGACTAAGGACTCTCAGTTCTTATTTTATTTTTTCAATAGTCATATATATATATATGTATATATATATATTAGTATAAAGATGTAATGATCTTTCATACATTTGCCCTTTTGTAGATATAATTGTCAAAAATGATTTCAAAAAAATCATGTTTTTATGCAGCCAGAGATCCGTTTTGATCTTATTGATCAATTCTCAAGCGACACTCGACTGGAACAAGATTTTTAGTATGTGCATTATCAAGTTTTTGATCCTTTAACGACCAAAAATGTACTTGTCAAGATTTCAATAGGTGCTTATATGCTTGTTGCTTCAATATTAAGATTTTACACAAAAAAAAAAAACATAGATTGAAAATATGATGAAAAACACAACAAAAATCTTCAAATTTAGAAATTTTTTTTCCAATCCCTTTTTTATCTCTTGTGCTTTCATTTAGTCCAAATATGCTATTTCTGAAAACAGAACTCATATATTCATTGGTTTGTCTACAAATTCCTTTGTATGCTTTTCATGTTTTAGATAGTATTCAACTTGGCATACCTTTATAAGCACTTAATTAAGTAATTATTCTTCATTAAGATTTACCTTTAGGTTAGATTTCATCAAATATACCAGATATGCAAATTTTTTAGCACTTATTATTTTGCTATTTAAATTCTCACTCTATAATGAATTGTGCTTTCATTGTACAAAATCATGTTTACCAGTTATTGAAGAGTAGTATTTACTGTTTTTAGCGTTTGTGAGGAACAAAAGGTTTTTAGCTAAACAACATTTATTTTAAAATTTTATTTTTCATGAGTTAGGTTTATTATTTATTGTTTATGTATATTATCATCAGATCCTGATGAAATACCAATCATACATACTGTCATTTCTAATACTGGAAAAACTACTGTTTGGATACATAAGTGAAATGTCATATAGTTTTTCTATACTATAACCACAACCACACACACAAAAAAATCATGAACCCACAAAACAGCTATGGATCGAATAGTTTTAATTTTAGTTTTCTTAATCTTGTGACACCAATCATATATATTATAAGCAAAATAAAAAATTTTGTTTAAAACTCTCT